ACTCTCGCCCTGCAGGGGTGTATCCTGCTTACCTAATTCCGGGGAGCATAAGGTGCACGGTGATCAAAGTCAATGCTTGTAGATCCCAGAATGAGGATAGCTGGCCATTGATAGCAATGACCTACAAGTTCCTTCTGTTTCTCCAGCTAGGACCACTGTACCTACCACCCTATATTGCATCACTAGATGCATACAGCAGAAGACTGAAGTTGCCAATGGTGACAAGCAGGACAAATCTTTCTTGAGCATTCCCACTTTTCTAAAAGCTTTCCCAGTAAATATCAGATGTCATTACAAAGCCAAGAGCTGCAGTCCTACAGAGTAGAGATGGATGGGCACCAATACTATGGTCAATCTTTCTTGATAGTTATTGATTTGGTGTTGTCAGTGCTGAAGAAGCACACCATTTATCTACCTACTGTCCAATCCTGTCTCCTTCCATCTGCAGCGATTCAGACATTGTTTCATTTTTGGATGAGAACTAAATCACTCTCTGGAGGATGGTGCCATCAGCAAAAAGAACAGTGTCACTCTTGATGGCATCTACCAGCCCCTTGATGCAGAGAAGAAACAGACTGGTACAAGTATGATTCCCAGTGGGACCAATGTGAAGGTGTTGCAAAAAGATGACAAACATCTATTTATCATGACCCAATGTCTATTCCCTCTCAGGAACTTATGTATCCCTTTTAGTAGCTCACAGGATATATCACAAAAAGCTAGGCTGCTCATGAGGCTGAAACGCAAGTATCCTATTGTGGACATATCATGAGATGTCCAGAGTTACTGCTCACTTAATTCCTGTACAAGTTGTTTTGCATAAACAGTAATGTAACCATTCCTACACATTTGATTCTCAGAAACTTGCAAACAACCAGTTTACATTTATTATGCCTGTGCTTTTAATCTCCTTGACTGATCGGTTACTTGAACTGGAATACGGAACATGTTTCTGTTCAATGCATCTGTATTAAACTTTTAGGGATAACACTGATAATTTCTCCAACTTTTTTTTNGCATTTTCATACAGCAATAGGAAAGAAACTCCCAATTACCACTGCAAAAAATTTAAAACACCGGTTCAAAATAAATGGCGATACAGATCGACTTCAGTGTTTGAGGATCAATATAGGGAATTGCAAACTGCTAAATTTGTACATCTAGTGATTTCCGCACTCAGTTGCCTTACTTTCTCCTTTTGGAAAGATTCCCACCCACACTTCAATTTCACAATTACATACTTATATCTGTCGCACCTTAGAAGAAAAAGAAGAATTAAGCAGACTGGGTAAAGAAGACACAGGTTTCTTTACAACGACAACAACAAAATTACATTTGTATTGCATCTTTCACGTCGCGAGGACGTCCCAAGGTGCTGGACAATCAATGTTTCAGACCCGAGCTGGGGTTCAGGATCGGGGAAGGTGGAGAGCAGGTGGAGGAAGGAGGGTGATCGAAGGCACGGTCGAAGTGGAGGGTCTTAAGATAGGTAGGTAAGGAGGTAAGGGAGACGGTGAGGTGGAGAGACTGCTGGATGGAGTTCCAGAGGGTAGGAGCAGAGTGGCCAAAGGCCCGCCGGCCAATGGTGGGGCGGGCAAGGCGGGGGACATGAAGCAGGCTGGAGTCCGCTGAGCAGAGGGAGCAGGCAGGTTAGTAGGGGGTTAGGGGTCACAGTGGTAGGGGGGAGCAAGGCCATGGAGCGCTTTGAAGGTGAGGACTAGGATCTTGAACTATATCCTCTGTGTGATGGGAAGCCAGTGGAGTCGGGTGAGGATGGGGGTGCTAGGGTCACAGAGCCTGGTGTGGGAGATGACACGGGCTGCAGAGTTCTGGATGATTTGCAGCCTATAGAGGGAGGAGTTGGGGAGGCCGACAAGCAAGGAGTTTGCAATAGTCAAGCTTGAATGTTATGAATGCGTATATGAGGGTTTCGGCGGCCTGCAGTGTGAGACAGTGGCGGAGCCGGGCAACGTTGCAGAGGTGGGGGAAGGCAGAGCGGGTCATGGCACGGATGTGGGGTAGAAAGGATAGTTGAGGGTGAAACAAGATGCCAATGTTCCAGACTGGCTTAGTAAGGTGAAGTGTGCATCCTTGGATGGTGATGCTGTCAGTGCCCGAGTTGTGGAGATGCTCACAGGAGCCAATCAGGAGGGTCTTGGTCTGAACATTGCAATCAGAGTGGTCTTGTCAGATGTTGAACAGGTGTTGATGTCACTTTAAGTGCATTAAAAAGAAAATGCTTTATTTGTTTTTCCTTTTTTTTAGCCGAACTGTTAAAGCCGGATTTTTTATATTACAAATTACAAGGTTGTCCGTGACCACTATTCACATAAACACTTTGGTTCACAATAATTCCATGACCACTGTTTTACCACAAGAAGCTCAGCAAACCCATTAGAACCAACCTTGCTTCACATTGGAGTTGTGTATCTCCCCAACCTTCAGGTATAAGGAAGGCTACATAGATCTGCTGACAACGTGGCATTTTAAAACACGAAAGAGATGATAACACGACAAATGCATTAACTGAAGGTTTCTTTGTTTTCCTTGAAATAGGGATTTTTCCATTACTTACTGACAGTTTTCTCTCAGACATTGAGGTTAATACCTTCATATCACGTGCCAAATTACCTTCAAATGACACAAATGCACTTTTTTCCTTCTTTTTCAGGAGTCCTAATCTTTCATAAGGATATATGCTTTTCCCTTCCATTCTTCTAGATTATAACCAAATGGGAATCGTTCCTGGTTTGGCTTAAAAATCAAGTAATTCATAACTGTGATTGTGATTGTGTAAGTATGTGCAAAGATGTAAAGCTCAGGACAATAAAGACTTTATCGGGTTTATAAGCTAGACGGTGAGTTTTCTCCAAATCCAAATGATTTATAAGAACACAGGAATATTAGAAGGCTGATCAGCCCATCAAACTCATGCCAACTTTTGTGTGAAGCTTATACTTGGAGTACACACAGACCACTTTCAACTTTGGAGCCCACCTAGAATCTTTCTTGCTCCCTGTTGAATCAGGAATCTTAAATGAGAAATGATTTAATTCTTAAATCAAATATGAGCTTGTCATTCTTCAAGTTACATTTTTCATGGTTTCCTTTGTTTATAATTGTGCTTCCAGCTCTCTTCTATTCATTCAATGCATCTTCCCCAGATCTACCTCTAAGACCCCCTTCATGAATGTCAAAAAACGGATTATGTCTTCCCCCAAAAATTGTCGTTTTTTGCAACAAGTACATAGTTATGCCTTAGCTTTGCTTGTTCATATCACACTAAGTCCCATCTTTATTAGCCCTCTTTTGGGTAAAAACTGATATGCCTTTGGCAATACAGGACTATAATGGGAAATCTTATTAGTAACACTAAAGAAAGTTGTTACCCTAATGACTGTGTATTTACAAAAAAAAACTAGTTCAGTTAACAGGTATTCTTCAACCAAATTCACCATTGCAAAACAAATGCTATGGCCAATACAAGGATTCATAGTAACTATCAGGAATGACTCATAGTAATACACTTGTAATCATATTTAAAATATTTGATACCTATAGGAAACAAACTAGACAAGTTTTAGACGTAAGTTAGTCAACTAAACTGGTGTAAAACTCACCATATAAAATGTACTTATTAGGTGCAGTGTGCAATAAGGCATTCAAAGTGCAATTATGATCTTTGAAACAATAACATGTGATCACCATAGAGAAGACTGATACCATTTACAAAATAAAAACTTTTCTGTCAGTCAGGGCTTGTTTCTGGCCCATTACTTCTGCAAACTATTGTAGTTCGCTTTTGCACATTTGCAAGTTGTAATGGACTAAAACTTGTTAGGAACCAAAGGCAACTTTGCAAAAATAATCTTTGCATCAAGATTTCATCATAAACATAATGAATAAAAATAGCATTGTGGAATTAGTTTGAATCATGCAATGTACAAAAGCAAAACTGGTATAAATGGTGGGGTATTATAACGCAGGGATACAAAATCTGAATTGAAAGGATATGGTGTTGGACTCTACTGAACCAAGTGAGACCTTCATGTGTTCAGTCAAATATGCTTCACATACACTTACCTGATCCCAACAAAACATCATTACTTCTTAGAGAGAAAAGGCAACACTTCATAATTACTATGCATCAAAACAGGACAAGCACCTATACTGTGTTGCTGTTTTACCTTTTAAATGCATAAAATGTAGTGCAAACAGGAGTTTGATTCATTATACTTTCTTGATCTGCAATTAAATGTTCCAAAAGAAAAAAAACTTCAAACATGTTTCATTGCAATACTTTGTCGCGCCAGCTTTTAAATTACACTTTTAAAAGAATTTAATGAGTAGGGCCAGTAGGGTAATAAAAATTTAATGGCACTACCGCATGTACAAATAGCTTAAGACTTAAATATTTTAAAATCTGGATCTGTTTACTTTGTATGATAACAGAACTAAGTTTACAAAAACCAGCTGAAGCAAGGGTTTATTTTTGTAACCGTTGTGGAGCACGATTTTTTTAAATTTGAATGTTTTTCTATGTCGTCAGTCTCCACTCGTGTGCTTGGTACTGATTTCCTAACAAACACCATGCAATTTGGTAGCGAGCAGGTGAGAGAGAATCAAATAACGTGGCCCTCTGGTGGAAAATAACATATTACATCTCAATTAACCAAAGCAAAAAAAANCCTGAAGACTTCATGTAAAAATATGAAGCTGATTGATATTATTTTAGATTAACTTAAGGAAAGAACGTATAGTTATTAACAATAAAAGCGCATAGGTCCAGAAAAAAAATCAAACACACCACATTCAAGCACAATACCAGTGGGCTATGATCACTTTGTGCAATTTTTTTATAACAAAAAAAATGAAAATCATTAGAAACATTCATAATATTTTAGAGTCCTACGGGGAGGAGGGAGGGAATAGGAGGTAACCTTTTGCATTAAACTAGGATTATATAGAAAAGAAAGGTTTGAAGGAAAAACAAAACTTACCTGCTGTTGTTGCAGATGCAGCAGTTCTACTGTGCTTACTTCACCACTGGTGTCACCACTTGATCTTCCATCTCTGCTGCCAGCATCTAATTGGCTGCTTAGAGTGCTCATTCCATTTTGATTCATTGAACTGTTGCTTATTGTCTCTGTCGCAGATTCTTGCATCATGACTTAATACCTAAAAGTGATTAAGAAGCGTCAATTAACACTCTCGTTACACCTTTACACTTCCATTATCAAGATGGTCCCATTCTGCCAATTACGGAGGCAGCCTCAGCAGAAAAAGGAAAAGCATGGTACAATCTTCCAACAAATAAATGTATTGAATAAATGACTTGCTGCCTTTTTATCCCTCCCCCTAAAAAAAAGTATTCACTCAATTCATTGGTACAGTAGTGTATCGCTAGGTTTTTTATAAAAAAATTCTGGCCTTCCAGATGCATTAGGTTGAGCTATATGAAATGATAAAAATAGAATTTATACAGTAATCGTTATGTTTTCTCTCTTTCCATCTAAATAGATGTTAAAATGAAAGCACAAAATTCAAGCACTATTTTTATTCTCACACAGCATTATCTGGCTGCAACAACCATGAATGACTGTAGATTATTTAAAACATTCGGTATCTTGATTCTGTCAGATTTTTTACAGCATTCCTTATGAAAGACTGTTGTTTAATGATGCACAGCTAATCATACTAAATTAAAATTTTGTAACAGAGTTACAAATCATGCAATATCAAGCCTGTGATAAATAGTGCAATGGGCTTCCTTTTTTTGGGTGACTAAATAAAAATTTGCCTCAAAGGCATTTAAAGAAAAAAAGTCCCTGCTGCAAAAACTACTAGTTTAAAATCTAAAGGCTGATATTCATTTATTTTTGTGACATTTAAAACATTTAATACTGTCCTTTCTAGGAAGTAATTAAGCCCATGCATGAGCAGCAATCAAACTGTTCACTTGAAGATGACTTAAAACTCAATTTTAACATAGGCAAATAAATGAAAGATATAAAATTAATTTTCCAGGCATGTATTAGATATGAAAGCTGAAATAAAATCTATCAAGAATATCACTAATGATTGTGCTAAAAACAGCATAAATTATGCATATTACCTTCTCTACTGTAATAAATGTTTTATCATTTTCACTGCATAAATGTACTGTACATTCAGGACAGCAATGAGATGTCTTGCCAACATCAGTTTAAATTCTTACAGTAAATAAAGAATTACAATGACTTTATAAACCACAACTTCAAGATTGTGCATCTACACACTACTGACTCTTGAGGCAATTTGTTTTCTCCTTAAAGTTTTGAACATATTTATCACATAGCACTGCACTTACAACAATAAGCTCCAATTAAACACAGTTATTACATAGCACTACACATACAACAATAAGCTTCACTTAAAAAAGTATACTGCTGTCATGTTCAAACACATCAGCAAAATCTGTCATTCCACCGCTTGCAAACCAAACCAGCTCAACACACAATGCACACACCTGAAATGTGCTCTGGTGTTCAGTATTAGGTTAAAAAAAAGAATCAGACAACACGATTTGCAGCAACATCTACTACAATTTTGCAAGTGAGCTGTAGACAAATTCCCCCAAAAACTCTCGTTCGTAAAATGGAACAGATCCTCCCCCAAAAAATATTTAGCCAACAAAAAGGGTGGGTACATATGAAACAGAACAGCAGCTTTATTTCCACCCTTGCCAGGTGTGGATGAGAATATACAGGATACAAATAAAACAAATAAGCATGCAGTTACACAAAACCTGACAGCCGCTATAGCTACAGTAAATAACTGCTGAAGCAGATGTGTTTATGAACAAACAGTCCAGGTAGCATTTCTTATTGAACATTAACCAAGAAGATAATAGGAATGGAAAATGTGACACCATCATGTTGATGGTTCTTGCGAGGAATAAAGCAAGCACTTTTTTTTCAAACCACAACACTAATGATTCTTCACATTAGTTGTGTGTTTTACAAGCAATTTTCATTCAAAAGATTCAGAGGAACAAAGAAGGATGGGTCTTAACTTAGCCGAGAATTTTAGAAGTGTAGAATACAACCAATGAAGAAAAAAGAACTTCACAACCCAACTGTAACACAATGACATTTCACAATAGTGTGTAAAACTCAGGAGTGGTACTTTCCATCAAAGCAGTAAAGACTGGCACCCAAATCTGAGCCCACAACAAAGAACATATGTAACCAGTAACATTGGCTAAATATTCGGGTGCTTTGTCGCATGTTTAAACTTCACCCAGAATTTTTGAAAAAAATAAGATGTGGCAACATAGGAGTGATTCTTAAGAGTCTTAAGTTGATGAACTGTGGAGCTCACCTCGAGTGTTCCATGCAAATGTCGTAATATTTGTGGGGAGGGAATTCTCTGCTGTTCGAGTATTCTCTCAATTCCTTTGCAACATAAGAAGTGCTTGACTACCACCGTTATATCACACATGAGGGAGGCTGAAAGCAACACTCTCAAACAGCAAAGAGCTCCCTTAACAAACATTAAAATTACGTTATAAATCAGGAAAGTAATTGTGAAAAAGATGCAACATTTCTCGAATGCTGTCCTCATTCAAACAAGAACGTGAGGCATCCTGAGCCAGGTACAAAAAACACCTAGTGGTGCTTTGTGTTCCAAAAGCACAAACTTCTATGGAGAGGAATAGATTTTCCATTCTTCTGCTGCCCTAAAAAGGGATTATACTGCTGACGAGAGGGGCTACATATGCTGCTGCAGCTCCAACTAATCAGACCTGTTCACAGAGGGAAGATAGGTTTTAATTCACAGTCAAAATCTGTGTTAAAACCCAAAACATCTGAATGAGACTTCAGCATTGCCACAGCTATTGTGCTGGACAACGGAAATTCCACTCTTGGCTGGGAAGATGTCATGAGCAGAACAAATGAAAGCTGTTCCACAGTTTGTCTTTAGAGTTGCAGTCCATAAATCAAACTGTATATAAATAATAATGAATGAAATTTTCAAGGGGTGCATGACTTCGATAACCAGTTGTTCTGCTCACCAATTCTGCGCTGGTGGTAAAGGACCTGTGAAAATATTTGAGCTTGGGTTTCATGAATATTCAGGTTCATTAACACCTGAAAGGTGTCATACCACCAGTGAACAGGGGAGGTAAAAGTCATCTCACCCACCAGAGAAGTACAAATTAAAACAAAAATAAAGAGATTTTTAGTCACACACACAGATTCACACACACACACACACACCATTTATTACTGCTCTGCTCCAGACAGAAATTAAAATGAAAATAAAATGAATGGGTGGTGCAGTGATAAGAAGAGCTGTATTTTATGGTCCTTATCATAATGTCAATTTCAAAACATGAAAATCAGGAGCAGATGGCAATTGTCTCCACCCTGACAAGATAAATATATGGCGGCAGAGGCTTTAACTGCCCACAAACGTGATACTGGGAAGAGCCACTGGAAAATCAGCCTGCACCAATACCACCCACAGGGTAATTTTCCTCCTACAGAATTCGAAGAGTGCGTTCAAACACAGACACGTGTGTTTCCAATCAGGGCACACAAATGGTCTGTTTCGTTTTTAAATCACTGAACAACAGTGGTGACTTTATAGAAGTGTGACTGACAACACCACACAGGCTCATTCACTTCCTGCTACTACAGGTTCTGTAAACTCTTAACTTTTGTCATTTATTTTAAACATTATCGTAAACATAACCATTTTTTTAATAACTTTGGGGCCAATCTAAGATTAAGTCATATTCTGCAGCCTCTTTTTTCTAAATTTACCAAAATCCATCTTTTGCTCCTCTTAATCCTTATACTGCAGGTGGAAAAGGTAATTCTGCTGCTGCTTTTGTTAGAAATATATTCCGACACAACATTTCTTCAAGTCAAGGTATAACTCCACATGATCGGTTCAATTGGTTTGAGAGTAAAGTCTAGCTGGGCGTAAAAAGATCACCTCCAACTAATGAGACAGAATCACGCTTCTTACAATGCAGACTAAACTTCTCATTCTCTTTAAAGAAAAAGAACCTTGCATATTTTCCATCATATAAAAGAGAAAAGTAGACACAGGAACAATAAAATAAACCTCATCTGCGCTAATTTTTGTTTGTGGCCAAGTTTGTTTTGGCTTTCTCTCTTCCTTGTCTCCTGAACCTAGTAACTCCTGTCTGGGGTTCAGTTTCCCTGCAGTGCTGTGTCCAAAAAGTCAATGTTCATGCATTAGTGTAGAGTGAGTGTTGTGCAGGATGTTTGTCTACAGAAGGCAACCAAGCCTGATCAGGTCTTCATCTGCCATCCGCAAACATACAGTTTCCAGCAGAGATCACTGGAAAGGGGGAAGATCCTGGTCGGTTTTCTAAACCCTAAGTCTGGGGCTTGAAAGCTGGAATCCTAAACCCTTCGAGACTGCAATGCCCCAACTGATGCCCTGCTATTAATTGGGAACTGAACTGACCCGCTGCTAGCAATATGGCTTACAATCTTTCTCCACTTGGCCCTCTGGGTCTAAATTAACAACACAATATGATTTAGTTTGGTTTACTTTATTGGATCCATTTACTGAATAAATTCACCTGTGCCATCCCTACACTTTGTTAAACACTGTTCAGAGCAGTTCCTTGGAACCAGCGATTGGACTAGTCTCAGTTGCTTAAATTCAAACCCGCATTGTTCCCAGCAACTAAGCCATGTTTGGAAATGTCATGTGAAGTAGTACTTAAAATTGTGAACACACACACATTGAGCAAGAACAAATCAGCCTACAGTGTGACGTTTATAAAGTAGAACCTTTGGTGAGTGTAATAATAGATGGATATGTAATTATTAAACAGTGTGACATCGTTTTTTTGTCTTTTCCAGGAATGGAGAAAGCCCTTGTACATTGGAATTTTTTTTATCTGCAGGTGAAAGGATTTCCTAGACCTTATGTGTACATAGTCTCATTAACAAGCACATTTCACTTTTGTGTTAACCAGCACTTTGTAAATGCTCTACCAACATTTTTTAATAGGTTTATTGAAGTGCCTCTGGATTCTCCACCACTACAGTTCAAGCTCAGGCCACTATTTGGCACTGAGAAACACAAGTCATGATGCACATCATGAAATTACAAGAATAAAAATCTTTAATATTTTCCTATTATCAGTC